TTGAAAAAATATCCTAATATATTGTGAATATTTGTCTATACCATGAGCATATTTCTACAGCATAATTTAAAATTGCTGTAAGTATTTTGTTGTATGGTTTATATCATAATTTATCAACACATTTTCCTATTGTGGGCATTGAGCCTAATTCTAGCTTTTGTTTTATAAACATGACCATAGTAAACATCTGAAGGACAGTTTTTAGGCAGTATTCGTGTATACTTCTGTGAGGTATTCAACACTGTTGGCTCCTTGTGTCTTCTCTTTTCGCTTTCCTGAGGCCTTTTCATACTTCTGAGGCCTCCTTTGCAGTTTCTCTTTCTTCTCTAGCACCTTATGTGACTAGGTTCCTGTTCTAAGGCCTCATCCTCTAGTTACTTAGCAAGTTCTTATTTGGTGATGTAATTCACTTTCTTCCCTTTAACTAAATGCATGTATCTCTACCTTTAGCCCAAATCCCTCCATCTAAACTTCAGATCCATATATCCTGCTACTTACAGGATATTTCCACTTGGATATCTTAGCGGCACCTCAAACTCACCCAGCCTAATCTGAACTCATCTGCCTTCCCAGAGCTCCTTGCTCAACTTTGTTTATTATCTCTGTGAATGGCATCATCATCTATGTAATGCCCTAAACCATAAGCCAGGTGTCATTCCGGATGCTTCGCTTCCCTAGCCATCCTATGCTCATCCAGTCACTGAGCGTTACCGCCTGCGTAGCTCTCGAGGCCTCATCTTCTTCATTCCCGCAACCCTGTGTTGTTTACTTTCTCCTCTTGTCTTTTTCTTCTTCCCCTCTTCTTCTCTCTCTTTCTTTCTCCTTCCCTTCCTTCCTCCTCTTTAAATCTACTCTCCTGTTGCTAGAGTGACGGTTTAAAATGTAAAACAGATTCATAAATTTATTGATATCTCATTGCTTTCAGGATAAAATCCAATCTTCCTAGCATGGACACACTGTGATTGTGCCCTTGTCTATCTGCCCCTAAGTTTCTGTCCTATTGAACTACAGTAATTCTGTTCTCAGAGCCAATCATGTGTATATAGCATCGTCTCCCTTGTGTTATCTTTTTTCTCTTGCTCTGCCTTCAAGAAGAAACTCATTACCTCCTTCAGGAAACCTTCCTGCCCAACCCTCCCTTTCACCCCATCCACTACCAGATCTAGATTAGGTATTTCTATTCTGCCACTATATGTATCCATAGCACTTTCTTGTCCACTAAATTGTAAGCTTTTTAAGGGCAGGGCCCAGTCTTACTAACCTTTGTATCCTTATCATGAGCACAGGGGTGAGTTGCAGGATTAATGCCCATTAAGTATTTTTAAATTTTTGCTAATATAGTACTAACATATTTATATGCACTAAACTGTAATTATAATTTTATTATATGTCACAGGGCACTATAAAAGAATTAATTGAGCCTGAAATAGATACA